AAGGATTCTTCAATATACGCAAATCTATCAATGTGATAAACCATATTAACAAATTGAAGGAGAAAAACCATATGATCATCCAACAGAGGCAGAGAAAGCTTTTGACAAAATTCAACACCCATTTATGATAAAAACACTGCAGAAAGTAGGCCTAGAGGGAACTTTCCTCAACATAATAAAGGCCATATATGACAAACCCACAGCCAACATCATCCTCAATGGTGAAAAACTGAAACCATTTCCACTAAGATCAGGAACAAGACAAGGTTGCCCACTCTCACCACTCTTATTCAACATAGTTTTGGAAGTTTTAGCCACAGCAATCAGAGAAGAAAAAGAAATAAAATAATCCAAATCAGAAAAGAAGAAGTAAAACTGTCACTGTTTGCAGATGACATGATACTACACATAGAGAATCCTAAAGGCTACCAGAAAACTACTGGAGCTAATCAATGAATTTGGTAAACTAGCAGGATACAAAATTAATGCACAGAAATCTCTTGCATTCCTATACACTAATGATGAAAAATCTGAAAGTGAAATTAAGAAAACACTCCCATTTACCATTGCAACAAAAAGAATAAAATATCTAGGAATAAACCTACTTAAAGAGACAAAAGTCCTGTATGCAGAAAATTATAAGACACTGATGAAAGAAATTAAAGATGATACAAATAGATGGAGAGATATACCATGTTCCTGGATTGGAAGAACCAACATTGTGAAAATGACTCTACTACCCATAGCAATCTACAGATTCCATACAATCCCTGTCAAACTACTAGTGGCATTTTTCACAGAACTACAGCAAAGAATTTCACAGTTTATATGGAAACACAAAAGACCCCGAATACCCAAAGCAATCTTGGGAAAGAAAAATGGAGCTGGAGGAACCAGGTTCCTGGACTTCAGACTATACTACAATGCTACAGTAATCAAAACAGTATGGTACTGGCACAAATACAGAAATATAGTTCAATGGAACAAGATAGAAAGCTCAGAGAAAAACCCACACACATATGGTCACCGTATCGTTGATAAAGGAGGCAACAATATACAGTGGAGAAAAGACAGTCTCTTCCATAAGTGGTGCTGTGAAAACTGGACAGCTACATGTAAAAGAATGAAATTAGAACACTCCCTAACACTATACATAAAAATAAACTCAAAATGGATTAAAGACCTAAATGTAAGGCCAGACGCTATAAAACTCTTAGAGGAAAACATAGGCAGAACAATCTATGATATAAATCACATCAAGATGCTTTTGACCCACCTCCTAGCGAAATGAAAATAAAAACAAAAATAAACAAATGGGACCTTAAGAAACTTAAAAGCTTTTGCACAGCAAAGGAAACCATAAACAAGACGAAAAGACAACCCTCAGAATGCGAGCACATTTTTGCAAATGAAGCAACTGACAAAGGATTAATCTCCAAAATTTGCAAGCAGCTCATACACCTCAATATCAAAAATCAAACAACCCAATCCAGAAATCGACAGAAGACCTAAACAGACATTTCTCCAAAGAAGATATACAGATTGCCAACAAACACATGAAAGAATGCTCAACATCAGTAATCATCAGAGAAATGCAAATCAAAACTACAATGAGATATCATCTCACACCGGTCAGAATGGCTATCATCAAAAAATCTACAAACAACAAATGCTGGAGAGGGTGTGGAGAAAAGAGAACCCTCTTGTACTATTGGTGGGAATGTAAATTGGTACAGCCAGTATGGAGAACAATATGGAGGTTACTTAAAAAACTAAAAGTAGAACTACCATACGACCCAGTAATCTCACTACTGGGCATATACGCTGAGAAAACCATAATCCCAAAAGAGTCATGTAACAAAATGTTCACTGCAGTTCTATTTACAATAGCCAGGACATGGAAGCAACCTAAGTGTCCATCGACAGATGAATGGATAAAGAAGATGTGGCACATATATACAATGGAATATTACTCAGCCATAAAAAGAAATGAAATTGAGTTATTTGTAGTGAGGTGGATTGACCTAGATTCTGTCATACAGAGTGAAGTAAGTCAGAAAGAGAAAAACAAATACTGTATACTAACACATATATATGGAATCTGAGGGAAAAAAATGGTCATGAAGAACCTAGGGGCAAGACAGGAATAGAGACACAGACCTACCAGAGAATGGACTTGAGGATATGGGGAGGAGAAAGGGCAAGCTGGGACAAAGTGAAAGAGTGGCATGGACATATGTACGCTACCAAATATAAATCAGATAGCTAGTGGGAAGCAGCCGCATAGCACAGGAAGATCAGCTCGGTCTTTGTGACCACCAAGAGGGGAGGGATAGGGAGAGTGGGAGGGAGGGACGCAAGAGGGAAGAGATATGGGGACATATGTATATGTATAACTGATTCACTGTGTTATAAAGCAGAAACTGACACATCATTGTAAAGCAATTATACTGCAATAAAGATATTTAAAAAAATGTACATTAGTAAGTGAAAGAAGCCAATATGGGGATTTCCCTGTGGTCCAGTGGTTAAGACTCCGTGCTTCCAATGCAGCGGACATGTGTTCAGTCCCTGGTCAGAGAACTAAGATCCCACATGCTGCGTGGTGCAGCCAAAAAGAAAATAAGGAAAAAAAAGACACCAATATGAAAAGGCTACACACTGTGATTCCAACTTTATGACATTCTGAAAAAGTTAAAACTATGGAGATTTTAAGAAGATTAATGGTTGCCAGGAGTTAGGGTGGAGGGAGGGATGCACAGGCAGAGCACATATGATTTTTAGGGCAGTGAAACTACTGTGTATGATACTATGATGGTGGATTCATGTCATTATATATTTGTCCAATGTGCAATACCAAGAATGAACCCTAATGTAAACTATAGACTTTGGGTAATAATCATGTGTCAATGTAGGTTCATCACTTGTAACAAATGTATCACTCTGAGGGGGAATGTTAATAATGGGAGAGGCTATGCACATGTGGAGACAGGGGGTAATGGGAAATATCTATACTTTTTTTTCAATTTTGCTGTGAATCCAAAACTGCTCTAAAGAAGTAAAGTACTGTACTAGGAAAAAAAAAAAAGATGTGGTATCTATATACAATGTACTACTACTCAGCCATAAAAACAATGAAAACTTGCCATTTGCAACAACATGGATGGATCTTGAGGGTATTATGCTAAGTGAAATACGTCAGATGGACAAACACCATATGATCTCACCCATGATATAAAAAACAAACAAACAATAAATAAAATAAACAAACTAAATAAAACAAAAACAAACCCATAGATACAGAGAACAGAGTAGTGGTTACCAGAGGGAAAGGGGCAGCGGGGAGGGAAGAAAGGGTAAAGGTGGTCAACTGTATGCTGATGAATGGATAGAAACTAAATTTTTGGTTGTGAGCATGCTGCAGCATATACAGAAGTAGAAATATAATGTTGTACACATGAAACTTATGTTATAAACCAATGTTACCTCCACAAAAATTAAATCTTAAAAACTACACAAAAATAAAACAACTAAATAAATAAAGGAAAGAAAAAAGATTATATTTACTTTGAAGGTTTTTGTCATAGCCACCAAATACTGTGTATGTTAATCTACTATGGTGCAACTTTCAATGCTTTGCTCACTGTGTGGTACATGGTAGGTGATCAATAGATGTTTGCTGAATGAATGTTGAACAGATTTCTAGAAAACCAGAATAATCAGTGAACTGGGGTGGGGGTTTCTGGTGAATTTAATTTTCTACATTTCTGGAGGCTATCCTGAAAATCTATAGATTTTCTTTCCTACAGGAAAGAATCTAGCATGAAACCTGGCATATAGCATGCTCTCAATAAACAGCAATTCCTTTAAAAAAAAATCATGAACCTAGCTTCTAGTCCTATACTTTGGTATTAAATAGCTGTGCCTTATCTGTAAAAATGACAATAATGTTAGTGCCTAAAAGCAAAGGACTTGAACTAATCTGATGACACAGATTACAGAATTGGAAGCAATGATACTGAGGAAGGATTTACATGCAGAAAGCTACTAGGGTGTTATCCATCTGCTAGCAATAAGGAAGTCATTTTCTTATTTGTTATTCTTTCAACAAATATTCATTGAGCACCTACTCCATGGCTGGCTCTATACGAGGAGCAGGGAGACACTGAGCTAATTATAACATTTATTTATTTTGTAGGTACTCTTGAGATTATATATATATATATATATATATATATAATGTATATATTATATACACACACATATATATATAATCTTAATCATCAAAACAACCATACGAGTTGGTACTATCATTATTCCTATTGCACAGATGAAGAAACTGTAGCTCAGAGAGTTTAAATGATCTATCCAAGATAACACAGCTAACAGAGCTGAGATACAAACCCCAATCTAACTCCATAACTTAGGCTCCTAACCACTGTGCACTACATGTTGCTGCTTCAGTACAGAGATGCAAGGGAGCACCATATGCACAGTGAATGTGTATTTATGATAGGATATTCTGGAAGTGTCCTGGACATGAGAGGAAAAACTGTCTCCTATTCCTCCAACCTTGGGAAACTCAGCTGGAGAACTGAGGTCCAATCAACAGTGCTTAGACTGCCTGAAGATAATTATTGAAATAACAAAGAATGAGGCGGTATGGTGTGATGGCTAAGAGCTTAGGACTGGTGTTAGGCCACCTGAGATAGAAACCTAATTTCTTCACCAGAAAAAGAGAAGAATGTTCGATCCCATACTACAGATACCTAGATACAGCTTGTGTGAGTGCTGCTTAAACATGTCACATACAGAGGGCATTTTCACAATGACATGAAAGTCAGAGATCTTTGTTTAATCAAGTGCCAATTCTGAAGTAATTTCTATCTAATGTAGCTATTACAAATGATAGTTACTTTAATGTATTCTCTGTGCTGATTATACTACATGCCATGATTATTGACATTGGCCTCATGAAGAATTAAGCAGATGGTACTTACCCACCACAGTCCCACAGGTTCAATACCAGGTTTCCCAGAAATCGAACATGAGAATGTTCTACATCAACTGGAAGACAAACATGACAAATCTAGTAATTGTAGCATGCAAGATGAAACAAAATAAGCAACATGCTAACCCATGGAATTTAGAAGGACCAAAGTGGAGTGAAATGCTCAAAGCTACAACAAGAAGGTGACTTTCAGCTTAGTGGTGTGGTTTAGTGGCAAGGTGGGCACCTAAACTACCCTGAGCTACAGAACTGGCTCTCACATAAGTCGTTTTACTTTTTAGTTGTTTTAGTGCTTAGAGCAGAAAAAATCTCCAATTATAATACTGTTAAAATTTCAACATGTAAGACAGAGACATATACCATTTAATAGCTCTTTTCTGACCCATAAACACCCTCCACAAAAAATTTAAAAATTAAAAAAAGACAACAAAAACCAAATACAAAACAAACATAAAACATAACCAAACTTGCTCCCTCTGTTGATTTCCTATTTTGGTTAATGACCCTACCATTTTCCCATTTTGAGGGGGTCATTTTTTTTTTTTTTCTTGCGTTATGCGGGCCTCTCACTGTTGCGGCCTCTCCCATTTGCGGAGCACAGGCTCCGGACGCGCAGGCCCAGCGGCCACGGCTCACGGGCCCAGCCGCTCCGCGGCACGTGGGATCCTCCCGAAACGGGGCACGAACCCGCGTCTCCCGCATCGGCAGGCGGACCCTCAAGCACTGCGCCACCAGGGAAGCCCGAGGGGGTCATTTTTGACTCCTCTTTCCACATTCAATTCATTGCTATTCCTTTGCAATCTCTCTTAATTCCACTCTTTGTTTTACAACCTGCTACTAACATTAAGGAAGGCCCTTACCTTCTCAAGCCTATACAACTACAGTAGCTCCCTAATTACCTCCCACCAGGAAGCCTTACTCACTTTACTTCATCCTATAGGCTACTGCAAGATTCATCTTCTTAACACTACTTTGAACATGTCACTCCCCATTCAAAAAACTTTCAATGGCTCCTCCATACCTACACGTGGGGCATTCAAGGTCCTTCAGAATTTGGCTTCCAATCTACCTTTATGTTCCCCAATGATTCACATTAACGAAGACTTTCGCTCCAGTCCAATTTGGTTTATTCATAGTCCTCCCAAACCCCTCTACCACCCCAACCTCCAACATACCTTACATCAGGGGTCGCAAACTTGCTAATAGGAGCCAGGCCGGTAAACGTACAAGAGTGAAGATGATCATGTATGGAGAGTAAATATCCACCCAAGGGGACGATGGAGTGGGTAGCAGTTACACAGCTCTAGTTCATTTGCCATGTAGGAACGTGGGCTCAGGATTACCAGATCTTTAAATTTTTCAATAGTAGTAGGAAATCCAGATTTTTTATGGAAACTTTTACATATTGATAATTAATTCCAATTTTTCTAAAACATTACACAGGCCAAACAAAACACATCTACAGGCCTTATCCAGCATACGGGCTGCCTGTTTGCGACCTCTGCCTTACACCTCCCTCCCCACCCTTTACTTTGCCTACTGTGTCCATCTGCCTAGAAAGTCCTCCCCACCTTTCTTCCAAAGTTAGATTCATCTTCTATGACCCAGCTTAAATCCCACCTCCTCTAAAAGCCCTACCTTGGCCACCCCCACTTACCATCATCACTCCCTCTGAATTCATTTAAACATTTATTAAGCATCTACTCTCTGCCAGGCACTAAAAATCACAAGGAACAATAATGAAAATTCTTATCCTGGACATTTCTCAAAGTCTAGCAATTATCATCTTTACAATTTATGTAACAGTTAAACATCACACAGTGGTGTTCCTTCTATGACTACCTTGAAGCTGTTGCTTAAATTGACTACTATCTAACTTCTGTGCAATTTTATCTTCTCATAAACTAGATCATAAGCAGCAAAGCATTACTTAAAAAAAAACATGGACATTGGAGTCAAACAGCTCTTAGTTCAAATATCAGCTCTACCTCTCTGTGTGACCTTGGGTAAGTCACTTAACCTCTGAGTATTAGTTTCCTCTTCTGTTAAAAAAAAGGTGGGAGGCATACTATTGACCTCACATTACTGAGGATTACAGGAATTATCATACATCAAGTGCCTGGCACGTAGTAGGTGCTCAAACTACTTCCCTTCTCCCCTTTACTTCCCCCTCCTTGGAAAAGGAATCATATCTTACATGTCTTTGTATTTCCAACAGAGTCTACGAGAGAGTAGGTGCTCAAACTGCTATTAATTTGAAGACTATGTAAACGGTCTAGTACTAAAAAAAAATGGAAAGAAGTGCTACTGAGAAAGGGAAAGACAATAATAAAAGAAGTGACAGGATTCAGCGACTGTTTAGATATGGAGCACATGGGATAGAAATCTGGTTTCTACTCCCATATCATAGAAATTGCTCTCATCAAGTGACCAATGGCCCCATTACCAAATCCAATGGACTTTTTAGTCCTTGTCTTACTTTCTGCAGCATGACACTGTTGACTACTCTCTTCTCAAAAAATTCTCTTCTCCTGGCCTCTGAGAGCATTACCTATAACCTCTCTGGCAGGTCCTCTTTCACAGGCTCCTATTCTTCTTTCTGTCCCTTAAATGCCGGAGTTCTTCAGGATTCCATCTTTGGCCACCTACTCTTCTCTCTTTGTATTCTTTCCGCCAGGCAAGCTAATCAATTCATATAATCTTATTTACCATTTGGATACTGATAATCCATAAACATGTATCTATAATACAGATTTCTCTCTTCCCTTTCTGAATCATATACTGGACATCTTTACTTGCATAAACCACAAGTATCCCAAACTCAGTGTATCCAAATATAACTCATCATCTGCCCATTCTTCCCACAAAATCTATTCCTTTTTCAGTCCTCCTTAACTCAGTGAATTTAACCAGATGCCTAAGCCAAACACTAAGTTTCATCCTTGATTCCACTCTTCCCCCCATCATTCCCCCCAAACCTACCAGCAAGTCATATTGACTCTACCTTTTAAATATCCCAAATCCATTTACTTCTCACCATATCCACTATTACCACCCTAACCCAAGTTAAGCCCCTATATTCTCTTACCTGGTCTACTAAAAACAGTTCCCTAATCTGTCAATCGGTTTCTTCCCTTGCCTCCCTCCAATCTATCCTCTATATTACAGGTATAATGATCTCTCCACAGTGCAGATTTCATTTCATTCTTCTTTAAAAAGAAAAAAAATAACATGTTTCTGTCTATATATTACTGTATATACCCAGAAAACATAAGGCCAAAAGGATAACCTCAAATTACTAATGGTGGTTGTCCCTAGGAAGTAGGCCTGAGAATGAGGGACAGAGTAGACTTTCTACAATTCTGCAGTGTTTGAATCTTTCACAAGTATTACTTTTCTAATTAAAATTGAAAATTAAAAATATTGAAATCTGACCATATTACTTTTCTGTTTGAAACTCTCTAAGGGTTGCCTTCTACCCTCAGTTTAAACAACCTGACTTGGCTTACAGGGCATTTTATGATCTAACCCCCAATTTCTGCCTCCCTCTTTAGTCTCGGGTCTCCTATAGGGCCCTCTGGCTCTCATAATCTTCCTGTCCTGCTATCACAACAGCAACTGAAAAGAAGCAAGAACAGAGCTTTGGGAAATCACATACACTTATGGGGCAGAAAGAAGAAAATATTTATTTTTTTAAAAGGAAGGGATGGTTAAAGATAAAGGAATAAAACCAGGGTAATAAAGCATTAAATAAAAGCCAAGGGATCAGAGAATTTTGAGAAGGCAGGAAATCTTGGAGCCGTCAACAGTGTTTGAGACTAAAATGCTTCATAATCACATTTTTATCGACAAGTTTACTATTCCAACAAACACATTTTAACAGCCCCCTGATAAATGAATACCACCATTCTGTATCCTTACTTCAAATTTCAAAACACAGTACACTCTAAGTTTAACAAAATGAACCTGGACTTTTTTCAGCATTGACAAACTAGAGAAACACTAAAACCTTCAAAGTGATATAATATTTTAGAATAAGTACTCTTTCACTACTTTTAAAGAAAATCAGCAACTTCACAAAAATAGTAAGTAAAAATCAATACACTATATGTATTTTTAATTAGTCTATAAGTTTAGCAAGTAGAACCAAGACCTTTCTTCAGCAATGACAGACTAGCTAGTGATACACTAAAGCATCAGGCCAACATAATATTTTGAAGTATACTTTTATCACCTTTAAGAAATACAGCACTTACTAACAAAGTATTATTGATAAAGGTCCCACTTGAGATATTCTTAAGGTCAAGAGCCTTGTCCCATCCACAGGAGGCTCCAGAAAAACACTTGTTAAAACAAATGGCCTGCTTCATGTATAGGATTCACATAATTTGCAACATTCTGTTTATAACTTTTTAACAAATCTGCTAGATTATTTCAAAACTACTAAATAGCTTGACTAGCTCTGAAATTTGGGTTTTAAGACTATTCACCAGACTTAGGTAGTCAATCAACTGTGCTGATTAGCTAAAAACAAAAATATTAATTGGACTAGAAAAAAGTACATCAATGAAATGTGCAGAATTTAAAACATAAACAGAAAGAAGTCTGCCAGGAATTGTGGCTGTAGAACATTGAATAAAGCAGGAGCATAGATTGACATTCTAGCTCTAACACTTATGAGTTGCGTGATCTTAACTTCTAAGTCATACTTTCTTCACCTATTAAAATGAAGTTAATATGAGAACTAAAGTAAATAAAACACCATACAATAAACATTAGCTTCCTCTGATCTACTGAAACCATGTGATTATTAGGTCTAGGTATTAAACTTGGAAAAATAGAAAAAAAATAAAATCCACAACAGGGAGAAGTTTGGGCAGGTACTTTCTAGAAGGAAGTCTCTTGAGGCACAACAGGCCATAGGACCCTGTCCTGACCAAAAGTTTTGATAAATGACTTAGATGAAAACTAGATGAGATGCTTATCAAGTTTACAAACTGCACAAAGCTAGGAAGGAGAGCTAACATATCAAATGAGAGAATAAGTAGCTAAAATGAAAATAGGATCCAACCCCTTTTCTATGGATAAGGAAACTGAGTCCTAGTGAGATAGTAACTTGTTCTGGAATTAAGTTAACCTTTCATGGGCTAAAACAATCAAAACTGAATAATTTAATAGAGATAAGCATTTATTCTTAGGTTCAAAATATTAACTTCACAAGAATCAGGAGGATATATTGTTTTAATAAAAATATATGTGAAAAGGAATTTTCTTTTTTTTAGTATGACTCAGTATGATGAAGGCTGCTCCACAGGAGAGTAGGGGCTAGACCGTGCTAACAGTAGTGTGATGCCTATAGAACAAGAGATGTAACAGTCTTACTCTGCTCTGATTAGACCACATCTTCATTTAAGTCTCATCACTAAAAAAATATAGACATATTCTAACAAGTCCTTTAAAATGCTTCAAAATGATGTCAAACGAGGAATAGATTAAGGACCTGGAGATATTTAACTTAAGGAAGATAAGATTTTGGAGGCAAGGAATGGCTAGGATAGATTGAGACATTAATCATACTAAAATATTTGCAGAGGCTCAAGAGAACAGAAAGGGTACCAGCTAACAAAAATAAATGGAAATAGATTCAGGGCTCTAAGAAATAACTTTCTAATCATTAAAGCTTCCCTAATTATGAGAGTCTATTCTACACTCCAAGCACGTTAAGAACAGAAATGAGGTTCCCTTCTCTTTTGTATCCTAGGTTCTGGAACATAGGGTGTTTTAAAAATGTATGTTGTTCTTGAAACCAGAGATACCTTATGAAGTAGTGGGTGGCTTGTCCCTAAAAGTGTCCAAGATGCTAGCAACCCAGATCAGGAAAATTTGAAAGCCAGGTAGAGCAATGGTTTTTGTCACCTAGAGGCCAAGGACCAAGGAAGAATCCAGAAATCCTTAGGTGCTACAAAATGAAAAGGCGTTATAGCCTAAAGACAGAAAGGGTCTCCCAGGAGCATAGATCCACTGAACTGGCAGCCATGGCAGCCCAGCTAGCCTATACTAAGAAACCAGATTTAACATTCAAACCATAAAGGGCAAGGAAACATTTCTCAAGTCAAAGCTGTAACTCCAAAGAAAACATCTGTATGTATCCAGGAAGAGAAGTAGCAGAGTACAGATCTGGGTAACCTCCCTCTGACAGCCTCCCAAACCCAATAATTTACCTTTTAATGAAGACTAGGACTACTGCTTTATAAAATCTTAGATTTTAATGTTATGCTTGTTAATGCCTATAAATTAATTTCTGTTTATATAATAACTTAAAAACAAACACCCTCCCCCTCCTAAAACGTGAACAAACAAAAGGACCCCTATGCTTGTTGAGAAAGAGCAGGATAAAAACGAAGCTGGACAAGGTAAGCAACCTAGAAAGGAAAGAACCTCCCCAAGAGAGCAAGCAGTAGTAACCAGAATTAGGTTACATCCTTCTGAGAAGGAATGAAAAAAAAGGAAACATGCTCAAAAACAAATCTGTCAATCTCTGCATCCCCAAGTTACTGCAACCAAGTGTGTTATGCGAATTATTAAGATCACCTGACTTTACAATAAGATAAAACATCTTACTTGTTGCACCAAGGCGACGTGTGTCTCTTGCAATATAATTTGCAAAGATAATAGACCTCATGCTGGTCTTACCAGACCCACTTTTACCCATCAACAGCACCTAAGGACAAAATGGGAAAAAAGAAAGGAAGGAAGTCAGCGATCAAGAGCAAATCAAGTCTAAAGGGATCTATTTCTCTCTTGCACTTGATGTTTCACTGAAGTTACAGTACTAATAACATAGAGTCGACACTTGTAACTGACTAGTTCTCTGACCAGTGGTGAATGCAGAGGTACTGAGAATTCCAGAGGCCAGCCACTTGCCTGTCATGAGTCACACATTCTCTTGGTGATAGAATCACAGTGAATTTATTATGCTATTAATATATACTATCATGCATTCAGTACTATGTTAGCAAAATATCAACTTGAGAGGAACTCTCATAATGTAATGTTTTATGCACTGAGCTATCTGGCAGAGTATTTCAGTATAACTGAAAGTTCTTTCTCCTCCTCAGGATCAACCTGACCACCTCTGCCCTTAATTTCATCCCTTTTACTTACCTTCATGATTTTGTTCCATTAATTACTCTTTTATTTTCAAGAGCGTCCCATTGCCTACAGGATCAAGTCTTTAAACTACATATAAGACCTTCCTTGATCTGGCTTATCTACTCCTCTGCCCTCATCTTCTGACGCTCCTAGCCTGGAACTTGTTGAGTCCAGCCATACTGAACTGAACTGCTTGTAGTCCCTTTGATTGCTCCAGGTCTTTTTTTTCATGCTGAACTCTCTGCCAGTAACTTTCCACTCCCTTTTCTTCCTTCAGCTAAGCTCCACTTACCCTTCAAGTCTTGGTTCAGTAATCATCTCAAGAACTTCTCTGATCCCAATGCCCTAGGCTGGCTTAGATGTATTTCACCTCTGTCTTCCCATGACACTCTTATGACACTGCTAAGACCATAATGCACTGCAGTTATCCAATTTGTTTTTTGGTCTCTCACAAGACTCTGTGTGCCTGAATGGAAGGGAAAAGCCCCTTTGAGTTTCCAGTGCCTAACATATAACAGATGCTGAAAATATGTTCATCAAAAGAATGAGCAAGCTATCAAAACAAAGATATAAAACAAGCAATTTTTTAATAATGGAAAGGGTGAAGGTAAACACCTTCTTGTCAATGACAGCATTTAATGAAGACAGAAAAAACACCTATCAAAGATGCTGTAGATTCTTGCACTAGGGGGGAAATTGGGTGAGGTAACTTTTAAGAGTCTTTTCTAACTCAAAATTTATGAAATATAATTCCAATTACCTTGATTTTCAAATGAGAGGATACATGTTCTATCTTCAATTCCAAGATATTTTATAAAAATTTCTAATTACAAATATAGGGAGTATTAATAAAAGGGTACTGCACTCAGGCTTAATCTATTTAGCTAGATAACTTTATCTCACTAAGGAAACATTACTGAGGAGATAGTCTAAAGTTGTTAGAGAAACGTTTTGCTTTTATTCTTTATCATTTACAAATTTCTGGTATTTTTAGGCATCCTTGTTGATAGCAACTTTAGACCGGCTCATCAAGAACATTTCCTTAGCAAACTGAAGTTATGTAACTGACTTATTAGATAAAGTTAAGGCTAAATACAGTGTATTTCTTTTTTTTTGTTAATTGAAGTATAGTTGATTACCAATATTGTGTTAGTTTCAGGTGTACAGCACAGTGATTCATTCTTTTTGCAGATTATATTCCATTATAGGTTATTACAAGATATTGGGTATAATTGCCTGTGCTATACAGTAAATCTTTGTTGCTTATGTATTTTGTGTATAGTAGTTTGTGTCTGTTACTCTCATACCTCTAAGTTGTCTCTCTCCCCTTTGTAACCACTAGTTTGTTTTCTGTCTGTGAGTCTGTTTCTATTGTGTATATAGATTCATTTGTATTATGTTTTAGATTCCATATATAAGTGATATCATATAGCATTTGTCTTTCTCTGACTTATTTGACTAAACATAATATTCTCTAGGTCCATCCATATTGCTGCAAATGGCAATATTTCATTCTTTTTTATGAGCTTTTGTTGTTTAAGAAATCTTACTTTAATAGCTTATGCAAGACTTATCAAGGCTGACTGTATTAAGTACTAATCTAAGTGTTCTACCTGCATTTGCTTGTTTAAAACTTTCATAATAATTCTATGAGACAGGTAATCTTATTATCACCATTTTATAAATGGAGAAACTGAAAGCCCAGAAGATTCAGAAACTTACTCTAGAACTGTGCCCTTATCGATTCTTCTTAAACCCCAAGGTGAGGCACAGTACCATAAGAGCACAAGGGAAGGAGTGTTCAATTCCATTTGTAGAACTCACATGAAACCTAATAGTGATAACATTTGAGTTGGGTTCAACATAAATGTGCAAGCAGAGGCCTGTGTAGTGTGTGTGTATGGCTTGCACAAAATGCAAATTAATTTGTAAACTTGGAGAAAAACAGATTCTGCATGGCTATGATAGGGTACAAAGGTGTGGCTGATGGTTTAGTCAGGAATAGATTTTTAAAGGGCATTCTATGAGATGAAATCTTTTGGATTGTATTCTACGGGCTTCAGGAAGTTACAAAAAGTTCTTAAGTATGTGAATGACGTACTTAGATTTCTATATTAGAAAAATTAAATCTGATAACAAAGAAGGGGACAAGAGTCAGGGAGAACATGTAGAAGGTTCCTACAACAGTCAGGGAAAGATGGCAGATATGACCACAAATATGCTTCCTGAACAGTACCTTCTTACCTTAACCTTCATGTTTTTGATGTACCTAACATGTCTTACCTTTTTCTTCATGGCTGTATTTGGTAGCACCCACCTGCAGATATAAACCAAAAGACAGAGTTTCCATAATCCAGTTGCCTTAGAAATTGGAATTAACGTAGAGGTGCAAAAGAGCACATTTAGTACAACAGCTGAGTACAGCTGTGTGGGGGACCTCAGGTAGAGGCCCTCATTTTCCTAAATTATAAAACTGGGTTTATGCTTCCTCTCCCCTAATTATGTGCTCAGGAAATAGCTACTAGGAAGATTTATTTAGGAATATAAATGAGCCATTAAAATTCAAGATGCAATTTTTTATCACCTTAAAAAATTTATCAAAGCAATATTTACAAATGCTTTAATAAATCAAACAATATTGTCATATTTGAATATCCTGTTTTTCAAAGTCAGCATATTCCTAAAAATCTTAAGTCCTTCAGCTGCCCTTCCAAGTCATATTTCACTCATCACAGGCACAAAGTATATAAATTCTCAAATTCAGGTATAAACTGTCACAGAAAGCACTCTCGAGCCACTGATCTCTGCCCAGGAAAAGCCAACCCTCTTCCTAGTCTTATCGTCAACATGATGACATAAAATCTCCTTTATTAACAATTCAAAGCAATTCAGAACTGCCTCCTCAATTAGAACACTTGCCCCTCCCCGGAGTGATATCAGGCCTGTCCTAAGGACTGTTTCTCCCCAGTTAGCAACCAGACCTCTTACTAGTTTATCCAATCACCAAAAGCAACCTTACTGGTAAATCGAAAGAATTTATCATAGGTGGGGTATTCTAATTCACAATACTCTCTTCAGTTAGAACGTCCCCCCTGCCCCCTCCCTTCCAGGTTTGACTTAATACCCTTCACCCACCCAAGCGATCCTTCCGGTTCCCCTATGGGAGGATCCATTCTTGTCCCCAGATTCTCTTTCTCCATCTTTTTCTCAGAGCCAGATTCTTCCATTGTGCAACAAGTCCTTTCCAGTCCCTTCTAAATCCGCAGTACTCTCTCTGTGTTTTTTTTTTTTTTCCTGTTCACCCCCTCAGCCGCCTATTCTCCTTGCCTGTGGCCCTTAGGCCTGCTCTAGTCTTGCCTCCACCTTTGTCCACTGGGGGGCTGCTTTCCCCACCGTTACCTTTACCGCCTCGAACTTGGCCTCAAGGCACCACCGAGCTGGCCAGCTCAACGGCTAAGTGATTCGGTGATGCAAAGGAAGAGATGGAAGATGAGAAGGAAAGAGGGAAGGGTGGGGGGTTCGTTTCGAGTTTGGGCCTCAGGCCCCAAGGTCTCGAAACCCAAAGGGGACTTCACCCGAAAAGAGGTGGGGACGAGGAAGGCGGAGGTGGCATAAAGAACAGACCCGTGCCGTAGGCACTAAGCGATGAATGCCTCGGTCGGCTCGTTTTTCCCGAGCCTGGCCGCTCGGGAGAGTCCGCCGGAGGTTGCGGTGGCTACGACCTAACCACCCACCCTTCACGAGCGCAGGTACCTCACCGCAGCCACCCTACTGCAGGCCAGGGTCACGTGGACACCTGCCGTAAACCCGGAGCTTGTCACGTGACTGCCGCTTCCCTAGGGGCGGGTGGGCTGAGAAGAGTACCATAGAGATTGCACGGAGAAAGAGCGCCGCCTGTCGCCGTCACGTGGCCCGGGCTCTTAGAAAGCCACAGGCTTGGTAGGGCGCTGCCAGCTTGAAGGGGCATTCATTGTAGGCCACCTGGCGCCACGCCCCGCCTGCCGCGGGGAATTAAAGGAGCCGGTTGCAATTTTAGTGCCTCAAAGCTGGCCTTTTTTTTTTTTTTTTTTTTTCTCCTAACTCCTATTTCATTCACCCTTAACGTTTTACAGTGGGGAAAGCCTAGCATTGTCTCTTTTTCTCCCTGTTTTTTAAATCTTTGTTTCCCTGTTTTTGTTATTAGCCCCGTCCTTGTAACTGGGCTTGTAATTAAATGAGTTAATACATCCAAAGTGATTACAACTGTGTCTTTCACTTAGTGCTCAATAAAAGTAATGATTGCTGGAATCAGGGATTCATCAGGAAATTTGGGACTTACTTATCTCCCCACTTTAAAACTGAAAGGGAAATGAATTATCATACACCATAGTAAAAGTCAATAGACAAAATCTAGAGTTGATGATTGAAGGACTACTGGTAGGCATATACATACTGTATTTAGATACAGAGACTACAAGAAAAAACGGCTGAAGTAGTTTAAAGGGGTTGCTTCTGGAGAGGGGCAGGAGATAGGAAGTGAGGGGACTGTTGCTTTCCATCTTATTCTCTTTTGTGAGATATATATATATATATATATTTAAACCACATATATATATTTGTATATTTATGTATTTAAACCACATGTACATATTCCTTGAAAAGAAAAGAAAGAAGGACTGGAGGGAGAGAAGGAAGGAAAGAAGGAAGGAAAGGGAAACTGGACAAAAATGGGGTGCTGTCTTGCCCCCAGACATCCCCATTTACCCTCCTATATGATCCTTTCTTACCACAACTGATATGCCTCAAGAAAAATTCATTGTATTCTGACCATGATACCTTAGCCCTATCACTTGCTAAATCTTCTTCCTCCTCTCTACCACCCGACCCCAAACCAGCTCCTGTTCTAATTTTTCCTGTGTGGTGAAAGACCCTGAGTCCCAAACCAGGAAGTCATTTTATTATTTTTTTCTTCCCGTTTTATTGAGATGTAATTGGCACACAGCACTGTATAAGTTTAAGGTGTACAGCATAATGATTTGACTTACATACACTGTGAAATGATTATCACAATAAGTTTAGTGAACATCCTTCATCTCATATAGATACCAAATTAAAGAAATAGAAAAAATTTTTTTTCTTTTGGTGAGAACTCTTAAAATTTACTCTCTTAAAAACTTTCAAGTATGACAGCAGTGTCAATTATATTTATCATGTTGTACATTACATCCTTAGTGCTTACTTGTCTTATAACTGGAAGTTTGTACATTTTGACAGCCTTCATCCAATTCCTCCTCCCCCCACTTCCCGCCTGGCCTGGCCTCTGTAACCACAAATCTGATCTCTTTTGCTGAGTTTGTTTAACTCATTCAACAGTGAATTTTTATATTAATGATTTTTCCACCTTAAGAACTGCATATGTACACATTATTTCTCGAAATACAAACTAAGGAGGGTACTAAAAGGAAAAATTATCTCATATTTAGTCAAAACAGAATCACTTTCAAAATTTTGAGTGTACATATGTATACTAGTACATATGCTTTCATATTCTACTTTATATTCATTTGTCACTTATTCAACAAATCTTCATTGAGTGCATATGCTAGGCACTGTGAACACAGAGATCAAGCCATGATCCCTTCTTTCAAGGAGCTTTCAGTCTAGATAGGAAAAAGTAAATAAAAAGAAAATTAAACTATAGTGTGATAAGTACTGTAGGAATGGAAAAGGGGGAAAGGAGGTTTCATGAGAAACGTAAAAAATAGTTGGGAAGAATCTCAAAAATAGATGATTCCCGTGATTAGCTTCTTTGAAGAAAATATGGATAAACCATTTAAGAAAGAAAAAAGAGTATTACAAGCAAAAGAAGAAGTATTTGCAAAAGCAAAGAAACATAAATTAATATGCTATTTTTTAGGTGTTGCAAGTAATTTAGTATTAGTAGAGCATAGTGTATAGGAATATGGTAACATATCTAGAAGTCAGGGGCCAGAAACCCACTAAATATTGTTGACATTAGATTTTAATACTAAAGGGGATAGAAAAACACAAAAAGGTTTTAAGTAGACAGCAATGATCAGATTCACATATTAAAGAGATAAATCTGAAGGAGTTTCAAGACTGAGTAAAATGGGTAAGAGGATGATGACATCAAAGGTAACTGCAGTGGTCTACATCAGGGGTCCCCAACCCCTGGTGTCAAAAAGGTTGGGGAACGCTGGCCTACATGGTAATAACAAGGGTCCTACTGAGGTATTACCACTGGAGATGGAGCCATGTCAACAATAGAATTGGCAGGACTCAGTAACCAATTGGAAGTCTCTGGCCTAGGGATAGCAATATTTTATGATGACTTCAAGAGTTCTTGCTTGGTGAAGTGGTTGATGTAGGAAAAAAGAGGATGTGGGAAAGATTTATTAATTATCGTCAGATAAATGCAGTTATGGAAATTTTGAATTTGATGGGCTTACAGTTTTATCCAATCAGATCACTCTAATGAAGAGTTTAATTTGTGGATTTTATCTAAGAGGAAAGACTTAGACTGGAGATAAGCAATTTGTTATTGACAAAAATGTGTATTCTTCTATTTGGGGGGAGTTATATGTTATATATGTCTATTAGATCACCCCTTTGGATTTTTTATGAAGAAAAATATTTATATTTGCTTTGCCAATATTTTGTTTAGGATTGTGTACCTATGTTCTCAAGTAAGGGTGCTTTTTTACTTTCTCTTTTTTTGTTGTTTTAGATTATCCTTATCTAATGTTATTATTAAAGTTATGTTTGCCTCATGAAGATTGAGAGATTCTTCTTCTCTCTCTGTGAGGATTATATTAAAATTGGATTATTTATTCTTGGATATTACCATCTCAGGTATTTTCTTTGTCAGAAGATGTTTAACACATTCAACTTCTCTAATGATTTTTAAGACTATTCAAATTTTATATATATACTATATATATTACATATGTGTATATATAATATACATTATATATATATAGTTATAGGTTTTACATTTATAAAGTTTTATATATATAGTTGTCAGTTTTAACATATTGCTTTAAAATGAATATATCTATTTCATCTAAGTTCTCTAATACACAAGTATGCAATTGTCTGTAATATCCTTTTAATCTTTTTTTAATCTCTGAAATATCTATAGTTAGGTCTCTCTTCCCAACCTTCATGTTGTTTATTTCAATTAAGTCAACAATAAAATTCACAAGCCGAACCACTATACTTTTGAGAATGAAAGGAGATGCCATTACTTATACCATAACAACAGGTGTCACCCTAGAGTATCACAGCGAGATGGGACGTATGGCCTCTGCGTGAATATCTAGTTAGCTTCATATTCTTGATATTTGGCAGTGATACTTGTTTTTTTATCTGACATTTCTTTTAATTTAGCCATTCTCGTGGTTGTGCCATGCAAAATGTTTTAATAAAAAATAAAATTAGGCATATCATTTAAAATTAAATATTCAATGCACTGAAAGGATGCTGTTATCCGTATTTTATAGACAGCCTGTTCTAAATACTAATTATTAAATAAGATTATATGTAACTTCTTTGTGAAAATCTATCTATATTACAATTGATAAGAAATGAATAGATAGCATTCATTGAGGATTTACTGTATATGGACCTCATGTAATCCTCATTAAAATATATGTGTCCAGTATTATCTCCACTTGAAAGACAATAAAACCTGAGGCTAATTTTGCTCACAGTCACATAGTTGAGAAGTGATGGAACTATGATCCAACTTGGATCTCTCTGAATTTTTCCAACTCAGAGTTACTATTTAGGATACTAAAAATTCCCAATAATAAGTAAATAATCATTCTATATTCAAAAAACTTTTCAAAATATAATTAGCTGTGAAACTTATCTTTTTAATATTAAAAAAACTACCTTTGGTTGTCTTATTAGCATTAGTGAAATAATATTCATTGAAAAATTTTAAGTTATCTATTCCATATTAAGATATATAAATGCCTAGGGATTCTTCCATTAATGTTTGAGAACTTTCAATCACTCATTCATTTAAGCTAAACCTCAGAATGAAGCACATTCTACTGACAGTGCTAAGTAAAGTTCTGATTGCTAGACATACAACGTTGAACTAAAGAGAGACATCTCCCACTTTCAAGGAGCTTTAATTGTAGAGGGAGAGCAGAAAATAGTGAAGTAAGCCAACATACAATGAAATTTAAAGTAGTAATTAGTTCTAGAAATAAATAACAGTGAAGTAGTATGAAGGCATAAAGAGTGACCAACAAGGATGTGATCATAGATCAGACC